TTCTGTCAAATCACCTGATATTACTTTATTCGAATGGTGTGAAGCGAATAAACGGGAAACGGAAAATAATACTTACCGTTGGCTTTTTGGGCAAGATTCAAGAAATTATCCATTTCAGGATTTCTTCTTCGACTCAGCTGTGATAAAATAAATGAATAAATAGATTTTAAAACGCAAAATTATTGCTAAAGTATTGAAAGTTTTTGGTCAGAAAAGATTTTTATCAGGCATTTCCCTGCAAATGATTGCAGAAGAATATACCCCCACCTCTAATATAGCAACTTGGGAAAAGAATTTGTTTACGCAGGAGACGCAAAATAGTACTGTTGGCAGAGACGTAGAAATAGGATGTTTTTCCTTTTGAATCTTCCATAAAACGCAGCATCATCTGCGTGGCAGATATTGTTTAGGTGACACCGGCTGATAATCAATGTTGGTCGGTCCATCTCAGTCATATGAAATCATCTTATTGTTAAATTAATCCTTCAAGAAAATACATCCTTGTCTCACTCCTCTTTCTATTTTGACATCATATTTTAAAAAGTGGAAGAGAAAGCAAAAAAAAAAAAAGAACAAAAAAAAAAAGAACAAAAACAATAAAGACGAGAAAAAAAAGGCAAAAAAAGACACAGAAGGCAGAAAGAAAGAAAGAATGGGAGAAAGTGAATGAGAGAGAGAGAGAGAGAGAGAGTGAGAGAGAGAGAGAAGGAAGGAAGGAAAGAAGGAAGGAAGGAAGAGAGAAGAAAAAGGAGAGAAAGAAAACAAAAGTGGAAAAAGGAAGAGAAAACAAGACGAGAAAAGGACAGAAAGAAGAAAAGGAAGAGAGAGAGAGAGAGAGAAAGAAAGAAAGAAAGAGAGAAAGAGAGGAGGCGAAGAATGTTTAAGAAAGAGAAAAAGAGGAATAAATAAAGAAAAGAATCAGGAAGAGTAAAAGAGAAAAAGAAAGGAAATAAGAGGAAATGGAATAATAATAAAAAGAAGGACGCGGAGAAAGATAAAGAAGAACAGATGAAAAAGAGATAAAAGAAAAAGCAGATAAGATGAAGGAAAAGAAAAAGAGAGGAGAAAAAGGAAAAGAAAATGCTGTAAGAAAGAGGAAGAAAGAGAGAATGAAAAGAAAGAGAAGATGGATGAGAAGAAGAAAGAGACAGAGGGAAGAGAGGATGCAGTAAAAAAGAGAAAAAGGAAGAGGAGAAGGAAGAGGGGGGAAAAAGAAGAGAAGATGAAGGAAAATAAATGAAAGTGGAAGAGGAGGAGGAGGAAAAGAAAAGGTAGGCAAAGAAAAACGAAGAATGAGAGGAGAATGCGAGTTGAGAGAAAGAAAATAGTTACTAACCCGAAAAAAGAAACCAAGAACAGCAAAACCATTTGGATACATAAGGGCTTCCTTATTTGTGAAATAGTTCGCGTTTCTATGAACGATATGCATCTGGTATGAAAGACAAAAGAAATAATAGGGAGATTTAATATGTACAAATAAAATAAAAGAAATTAAAATGGAAGGTTAATGCCAATAAAAGTTAACCTTTCGAATGCTGATGTTCAAGATATGCCAATTAGACAAACCTTGACGCAAAACAATCTTCAAGCCCGCCAGAACCATCTTGTGCTATTGTTCCAGAACAGTGATTCCCAAACGGTGCGAACGGGCCTCATAGGTACAGCGAAAGAAGATAACAGGTGAGGCGGAATGATTGAAAGACAATCAAAGATTTAGAAACAATTTTAAAAAAATAATATGCCAAAAATAATATGATTTCAAAATTTAAAATATTATTATGGATTATTTGTAATTGTTTGCATGAGTCCCAGTATAAATAGTCATAAATAATTATTGGCTGATTTCATTTTCATTGTGATATCAAGTATTAAGAATATAGTAACTAGGCTCCGCAAACTGGAGGAGCGAGTTATCAATCATAATGTTCTGACTTCGAATCCTCAGTTATCTCCCTTTAGTCCTCTCTTTTTCATTGTTAAATGTACTTTTTATCACATAAAATTTGGCGAGGCACGCGCAAATTTTCATTACGAAAATAAGGCCCAGAGAAAAATGTTTGGGGAGCACTAGTCTAGAATAAAAGACATTTAACAAAATATTATTATTCATTTTTTTTTTACTGAGCTTAGCTTACTCTAGCAGTAGGTTATGAGCCTAAAAATGTAATATATGAGAATAGATCAATAAGTCCGTAGTCTGAATTCTGATTAAAAAAAGTTTAATTGCATAATTTATATGATTAGTGTTCATCACCGAATTACGAATATATATATATATATATTGTTTATACATTTTTTATATAGATACACTTATTTAAGTAAATGCTCTGTTTGCAATAAACAGTATTAATTACATTTACCGGCCTAAATATCCGAGAAATTTCGTCGAAAATATGTGTCCTCTGACAGGAATCGAACCTGTGTCCTACATGGAACTGTCATTTGATATGACGTGATTTACCACTCAGCTACAGGGGGAAGGATCTGGTTTGCTAAGTCCAAATTACTGATTTTAAACAACAAATTTCTCACGATCATTTTCGAACGATCATATCTGCTTGAAGCGTATCTTAACGTAAACAAATGACAACACATATAATGACCCACTTGTACCCGGGGAAAAGAAAAAAGTCATACTGAGCAAGATTAGGGGAATATAAAGGTAGTTCTAGTGCAGTGTTGTTCTTCAGGGTGTTGTGAGCAGGTGAATTGTTGTGGAGAAACAATCACAATTTTGTCCTGCCACAACTCTCGCAGTTCTATACTCCACAGATTTCATGTTAGATGATAACATAATACTCTTATCCCTCTTTGATTCAGAGCTCACAGTACACCCAGTCCCGTTACTTTCCAGAGACAACTCGTCTACAGGGTGTATGTGTGTCCGTGTCCGCCGTGTATGTGTGCGTGTGGAAGATAACGCTCTTATGGGCAATTGTTTTTTTTAAGTAAACGCACAATATTAAGAAATGAATTAAAATATTGTAAACTTATCTTCACGACTCAAAGTTTCAGAGATGTTATTCGCTAAGTAGAGGGTTCGATAGTTAAATTGAATTCATTTTCAGATATCATCGTTATTTATTTATAGCTACAGTGTAACCCGGATATAAGAGACCCGGATATAAGATAAACCCGGATATAAGAGAGATGTTCTCTGGTCCCAAATTAGAGCCTGTGTTAATGTATATAAATTAGACCAAACCCAGATATAAGAGAAACCCGGATATAAGAGACTTCTTCTCCGGTCCCGACAACTCTCTTATATCCGGGTTACACTGTATATGAAATAATACAGAGTATCCCCCTCCCCAAAAAATCTGACATCTTTTTGTAGTCCAATAAGACAGCCGATTCTCGCTCACATAATCTCAAATTGCAACAAAATGTGTAAAAATTATATTGATCGTGCTCACTTATCCCAATGAGAATCTGTCAGGAAGATGGATTGGGCTTGCCAGTGATAATGACAATGCGCTGTTGAAATGGCCACCACATTCATCTGACTTTACACCTTGTGATTTTTTTTTCTGTGGAACTATGTGAAAGGTCATGTATATATACCCCCTCTTCCTATAAGCCTAGAGGAACTTAAGTATTGATATGTCCCGGAAAGGGATATATTTGAACGAAGTAGCTAAGTGGTTTTGGCTACTATAACCAAGTAGAATATGGTAGCAGTAATCGACTGGTACGCGTCGTAGTCGCAGGTAAGAAGTGTAGATCAATAGTGTAGTCCAATGGGCGTCGTTATAGACTAAGGCTCTTGACTCTCCTACACGTCCGTCGGTATTTATGACGGACACCAGCCAATCATATTCCAGTGAGGGGGAACACAGGTGTACGCATATTCCATTATATCAAGTATATATATATATATATATATATATATATTTCTAAGAATTAAGTGAATTTTAAAAAAATTTTAAATTCATATTACTATAAACGTTAAATTCAGCGATAGGTTTGGTATGTCTACTTTTAAACAGTGTAAATTATGCCTACCGGCCTGGCTTAAAGCGGATGTGCCCTTCGGCAGTGTTTAAACCTACGTCGTTCCTTCTATCGGTGGAATTCACTGTATAGGCGCAGTCTGCTTTTTTTTTTTTTTTTTTCGACCTTTTTTTTTTTTTTTTTTTGGTTAGTCGAATGACTTTCACGGCAAAGCAAGGCTCAAATACCCTTTTAAAAGAAAACCTCTCCTTAAGATCTTTAGACGTTCATATCCACGAACATTATTTTCGTATTCGATACTTTCATAATGCTTTTTATACTTCAATTACAATAGACATTAAATAGACTTTTAAAAAACAGTGATGTCGACTCAAACATGTTTCCACTCAATATAACATTTAGAGTGACATTGAATAATGTAGTATTATAAATAAGAATCAGTTAATTGATTAGAATTATTGATTGCTTGATTTATTTTTTACGGCTTATCAACCTTTGCAGATTATTTAAAGCCAGGAACTATATTTAGATTGTAAGATGATTTTTTTTTAGATAATAATGATTTTGGTATGCAAGTCTTACCCAAGCAGATTTTAATAACCAAACCAGAAATTATAATGTAGATATAAAGTGTGGGATCATTTCTATATTACAATCATTATGTAAAGTGATCCCTCAATTTTTGGCCGTGGTAGTTTCTGTACGTTAATATCACAGAGAACTTAAATAAATCTAAAAGACATACCTGTGTAGCTAATCAGTATTTCATTGATTGATTGATTGGTTTTCTACAGCTTATCATCCCCTTGCAGGTTATTTAAAGCCAGGAACTATATTTAGATTGTAAGAATTTTATTTGAGATAATAATGGTTTAGTGATAAAAGTCTAGTTAAATAACTCATAGTTTGGGTAGAAGATGTGGATTCATACTGTTCCCAAGGGTATTTACGCGTAAGTGGATATAACGAACCCATCGGGAATTGGAACTCGGCTCTCCTATTAACAATTCCGAGTCATTATCAATTACACCACCCGCACTTCCAAGCTTACAGCATCTGGTATTTTCAAGCAGTCACCCATCTAAGTACTGACCAGGCTCAACGTTGGTTAACTTCGCTGTATGGGAACGGGTGTTTCTATATGATATGGCTATAATTATTACACTTACACACTTCTTACACTTACCTAGTCTGGTAAACGTTAATCTGCTTTGTTTTGTTTACTCTGAGTGTTAAGATATAGACGAAAATAATTAATAACGTCGATTTCAAGGATAAGAAATTAATAAATGCAAAAAAAATCTTAATTATTTATTCAGATATTTTTAAACGCTCCCAAAAATGAAGGAGAAAAACTGTGCTTTTATTTCATGCAAAAAGTGAAACGTAAATATAAAAATAAATCACCAAAATGAAATCGATTTTCAGGAATTACCTCAAGTGGGAAAGGGTGACCATTGATCTGATGCTCTGAACCCGATATTTTGGACCCTGTGTTCCAGTGGAAATGGAATTGTAAAGCTCTGTAAACGCCATCCAAGTTGCCGGAATATATATAGGAATTCTTTTTCGGATCTGACAGTTGAACTATAAGGAATAAATAAATGAATACAACAAAAAACAAATTGTCAGCCAACAGTGCAGATATCACCGTTTAATGAAAAACATTTACTTTAAAACTACAGATTTGTCCTTTTTGATCATTTTTTATGTGCCGTATTCATGATTATGGCTCTCCACAGTTTCTCGTTTTTGTAACCTTTGTTCTTGTTCTGCCATTTATTCACTCAAATACGTTATGTAGGTTACTCGCTGTTTATATCTGCTTCTCTTGCCATCATATTTGTGATTGTTAAATTCTCCAGGAGTTCTTTCTTTATTATTTCACCCCTAATTTACAATGGTTTCTTTCTGATTGTAAGTATACATTTGCTTGTATTAAGTTGGAAAGAAAGTCTGTTTTTAAGATGGAAAAGAAACAAACTCTTCTTTGGTCTAAATTGATATATTTAATCAAGATAATATTTTCCCTTCATTAGCGATAACATAATCACATCCATTTGACAAATTGTTGATCCCTTGGGCGTAATTCTTTTCAGGCTTTGATGCAAAAAAAAACTACTCAATATCAGTCTTAACCTCTTCACAATTAATAAATAGTTTTCTCTTTAAAATGTTATAATGATCTGAAAAGATAATAGTCAGATGGAGCAAGGTCACGATGCAACTTCATGATTCCAACCTCCCAGGACGTGGCATCTTTCTCGCTGATGAACTGATCTAAATGGATTTTACAGGATTGAAGTTCCATTCAGATAGTCGCTTCCCCAGAACTGCTGCTTCTTGGAACGGACTCCCGAGAGGATGTTTCCCGATAACTACAATCTTAAGTTCTTCAAGTCTAGGGTCAACGATTATCTACTCTAAATATAATATAAACCATTTGCTACCTCCACTGTACATCTTTATAGCAACCATCTACCTTGAGTGGATCTTGAGGAACAATAGTAAAAATATCTTTTCAGTATTCTAGTCACTAAATTTAAGATTTTAGTATAAAAATGTTGAAATGTGCGTGGTCATTACAATAAGAATGGTACAAATAGCTCTTGATGATACTTCGAGATTTTAAAATCAATTTGTAGTGAGTTTCGAGAAAAAAAATTGAAAATAAAATATATAAACAAAAATAAAAATAATTTAAATTAAAAAAAAAGCATTTGCGCTTTCCTTTAAAAATCCTTTATCTCTTTCTCTTTCTCTCCTAAACTTATATATATATATTATATATATATATATATATATATATATATATATATATTTCTCTCTCAACTAATAAGACAACCCTCAAAAAAAAAAAAAAAGGAAGAAGAAAAAACTGATCCCGGCCGAAAAACGATGGAAGTTTACTGGTCCTGAGTCTAGCCATCTCTGACTAAAAACTACCAAAAGTCAGAGAGGCGCCACGCATAAATTTTAAACATATATATATATATATAAAATATGAAGAAATATAGATTTAAGGTGGGCTATATTTATGGGATAACGTGCTCAATATCAGAGATATAGCCTATACATACACACACACACACACACACACACACACACACACACACACACACACACACACACATATATATATATATATATATATATATATATATATATATATATATGTGTGTGTGTGTGTGTGTGTATGCATGGAAAGGTTGCTCTTCAGTAGATTGACGCTGACGTATTTCTAAGATGACTACTGCTAACAAGTTCTGACTCCTAAACTGTCGAATACCGAACCGAAGCGAACTTTCTCCCGACTGTTACAAAGATCGGACTTATAACGAACTTGTGTTACCCCCAACATCAAAACACCTACTCTAATCTAAATCGAATAAATAAATATATTTGTTCATACCCTTAATCCAGTTCTTTCTAATTCCTAAGATTTCGATAGATAAACACCACGTCTTTCTGGCAGATAACTCAAGTTAAAATTAAAAAAAATGTTATGTTTTTTGCTAATTTGAAATTGTTGGTTGGTTTAGCGGAATATCAACATCTCTATGTGTTATTTAATTCCAAAATCAAAATAATTTGAGCACAATTTTATGGCTTCAACTAATATATTTTAAACATGATTGTATGCCTTCGATTATAGATAAAATTGTTGGTCATTCTATAAAATTGTATGATTTTATGATTTCAGAGTATTTTGTTTTATTTTCACTATCTGCTTATAGCTAGAACTCTAACAAGTGCTAACAGTCCAGATCAGAATGGGCGTGAGAATAACAGCAATTGTTTCCATGATTCTCAAAAAGCTCCAATCGCCCGATCAAAGGCCTTGCTGTCAGTTTCTCGTCATACTAATTTCTAATTGTAAGGATATACTTTTTTTGTGAGGGAAATAACTAACCATGGAAGACAAAAATAGACTCTTACGTGTGTGTCCATTGTTGGTCATAATAAAGATGCGCTTTCTGTTGTAATTGGAAAATAAAATTGGCGGGAAATTCTTATCGAAGAAAACATCCCTGGTGACAATGTTGATAGGACTTTGGAAATCTCCTGCACATTGGGGATAGTTAACTTTCCAAGAATACACATCTGAAAGAAATGATGACAATCGATTTTCAGGATTACAAATATCGATGAAAAAAGGCTATGGGAATTCTTCATATACACTGATTTTTCCGAACTAGGGGACATAATCTTGGCTGCAAAATGCCAACGTTTCAGCCGTTGTATCCCCATTCCTTCTTCAGGTGTTCAATTATCGTAGACAGTATTTGATTTGATTTGATTTGTTTTTTTACGGCTTATTAACGTTTTTCAGGTGTAGGATTTTAGATAGAGCACTTCATCTAGCGAGCAGATAAGTGAGGTGAGTTAACTCCCTTGGCACAATAGGGACAACCAAGATGAATTAAGGCGTTTGCTACAGTTAAAAGAAGAGATTAGAGCAACACATGCTCCAATCAACGTCCAAACTCACGCCATCGGGGACAATGGTATTTATAGATAGTATTCAACCTCCTCAACTCACCTTAGCTGAAAAGTTAGTAAAAAATCTTCCTTCCATAACTCACTCACTTATATCGGTTACCACCACTCGCCGTTTCCTGTTCGTGGAATATGTCCTCACCTGGGACATAGTAAATGAATCCGGCTCGTTTGAATCATGGCTTCTCTAGAAACACAGAAGAATCTCCATATTATATGCAATTATATTTCATTCACTTTCCTTTTGCTATATATGTTATATTTATCTCTGCGCGGGACACGTGTAAATACGTATATGCAGTTTTGTGTATGTCTTAGTGGTATAAAAGTCTCCGAGAACAAAGCATGGTTGTCATTCTTTTTCCTTTCAGCCATTCGGTTCCGTCTGTGAAATACGGTGTTATAATATCACTGATATAACAATTCCAATAATGGGGGAAATATAAATGGAAGAATAAATATTTCTTCCATAGTTCTCTCACGTGATATTTCCACCACGACGCGACAAAATTGATTATGATATCTTGTGTCAGAAACACCAAGATCAAGGTAGTCACTAGCAGAATGGACTAAGACTGAATGGCATCATCAAAATTGATTTTGATATCCTGTTGTTTATCCTTGTTTACTAAAACAAATTTTAAAGTATAAATAGACGTTTTGTCTTTTCATTGAGTATTTTAGTCTGAAAATTGAACAGATGTAGGAGTGGTCCATTTGAATTTTTTGAAGAAACATGGTCCATGGGCTGAAAAAGCTTGAGAAGCACGGGTTTAAATTCATAAAGTCTTGAGGAAAGTTCATCATGAAAGTATTTATAGAAAATGTGCAGGGAAGCCCCATTACGGTGGTTGAGAAGTGATTGAAGGCAAGATGGCAAGTCAAGACGAATAAAATTGCAGATTATTCTTTGGATTTTATCAAGAATCTCTAAATAAATAACTGAAGCACCAGGCGATATCAGGAAACAGAAAACTACAACATTAAACGTTAACATGAAACGTAGAAAATACAAGTGACATTTGGATAGGAATTAAAAAAAAGAATTCTACTTACCATTGTAACTCCATTCTGTAAAAAAGAAATAAAACAATTATTATTAATAACGCTAATTAATCTTTTCAGAAATAATATTGGTAATTACCCACCCCACCCCCCGCTGTCAAATAACTAAGTAGCGTTGCCAAAAAAATGTAAATAAGAAATAGGCGTAAAAATATTTCTCTTTTTTCCCACCGGATGAGATGTACGCATCTTGTTCTCCCTCTTTCAGAGTACACAACATACAAAAACTTTAAGCTTACTTGACTACACATAGGTATATCTAATAAATCTAACAAACCAACAAAGAATTTGTGGGCTACACACACATATACCCACACAATATATAAAGCTCACGTTCACGATTTTGTAAATTTCAAAATTACTTTTATTGAATACATTCCGCGCGGACGTAGTAGAGAACCATGTCACATGACAAAGTAGAAAGATAATGGACCAATCAGATCGTTTTATTTTGTTGCTCAAAAAGTTAAAAACGTTTAAAAAGTAACGTAAACGATGTCGGAAACCCCAAAATTAGTGAACACACTTGCTTCAGAAGGATACGCTTTCTTACCGGCAACTTCAAAGGAACTGTCACTAAGCGTCT